CCCCCCCTGCCAACCTGGTTGCCCCCAACTGCACCCTGCCCCCACCAGCCTGGTCGCCCCTAACTGCCCCTCATCCCCCACCGGCCTGGTTGCCCCATGCAGCCTGCTTGTTCAATCATTTGGTCATCCCTCACTAACCCCACTGCCAGCGTGGTCATAGGCAGCCATCTTGTGAGGGTGTGAGGGTCAATTTGCATGTTACCTCTATTATATAGGATAGGATAGGAGGTCCTTCTTTGTCTCTATTACAATTTTGTCTTAGTTTATTTTGTCTGATAAAAGTATAACTATTGAAACTCACTTTTGCTTAATCTTTTTCCATTCTTTTAATCTTTCTGTGTCCTTAAATTTATTGTGTCTATTGTAGATAGCATATACTCAGTTCATGTTTTTTAATACATCCTGCCTGTATCTGCTATCTGTTTGACTATTTAATATGTTTATACTTAATGTAATTATCAATAAAGTAGGATTTATGTCTGACATTATGGTATTTGTTTTCTACATTTGTTATTTTTGTTTTATACTTCATTCTTATACTACTATAATTTATGTTAAATAGCCATATTCTAGAGTCCCATTTAGTTTTATGATTGTTTCTTTACTACAGTTTTTAGTTCTTTTTCCAGTGGTTGCTCTGAGAATTTCAGTTATAGTTTAGCTTAAAATAATTTAGTTTGGAATAACACTAATTTAACTTTAATCTCATTAAAAAACTATGCCCTAATATAGCCTGGTCCCTCCTTTTTTTCTTTGTACTATTATCATCATACAAATTATACCTTAATACATTATAAGTAGATATTGGTAAGCAGAATAATGACTCTCCCAAAGATGTCCACATCCTAATCCCTGGAACCTATGAATAAGGAATTAAGGTTGTGAGTCAGCTGGCCTTAAATTAGGGAGATTATCCTAGGTTATTCACATGGGCTCAATGCAATCACAAGAGTCTTTGAAAGAATAAGAGATGTGACAGCATAAGAAATGTACAGAGAGGAAAGGGGCCATGATACTCTAAGGAATGAGCAGTCTTTAGGAGTTAGAAAAGATAAGAAAATAGATTCTTCCTTAGAGCCTCCAGAAGGGAACACAGTCCTTATGCTCATTTATTTTGACCTATTAAAACCTCTTTCTGACTTCTGACATTCAGAACTGTAAGATAATAAATTGGTTTGTTTTACTAGTAAGGCACTATGCTTATGTTAACATGTTATATCAGAAATAGGAAAATAATATACCATCAACATGTTTTTATAATTATTGTTTTAGGTAGTTATCTTTTAAATCAAATAGAAGAAGCAAAGAGTTACAAACAAAAATACTTTTATATAGTCTTATATTTACCTACATAGTTACCTTTACTGGTGCTTTTTATTTTTTTGCAGATTCATGTTATCTTTTGTCCTTTTATTTCAGTCTAAACAACCCCCTTTAGTATTTCTTATAGGGCAAATCTGCTAGTGATAAAAATTTTTTGTTTTAAAAATATTCTGAGAATATCTTAATTTCCCTTTTATTTATAAAGAATGGTTTTGCTGGATAGAAAATTCTTGACTGACAACCCTTTGTTCTAACACCAAATCAAATATGTCAATTGTTTTCTGTTCTCATGGTTTCTGATGGAAAAATATGTGGGATTAGTTACTTCTCTCTGGAGGTTTTTCATCAATTGATTCTGATGTGTCTAGGTTTTGATCAGGCTTATTCCAACTTTACAGCAAGTTTTTCAACTTGGAGTTTGTTGAACCTCTTAGATGTGTATATTAATCTTTTTAATCAAATTTGGGAAATAATTGGAAATTATTTCTTCAAATGTATTTTTACGCCTTTCTTGTTCTCATTCATGTACTCTCTTTGCGCATATATTTCAACGCTTGGGGATATTCCTCAGGTCTCTGAGGCTCTGTTTTTGTTTTGTTTTTCATTTTTTGTCCCTTTCTGTACCATAGACTAGATATTCTCTCTATTTACCTATCTTCATTTTCACAGATCCTCTCTTTTGCCAGTTCAAATCTGTTACTGAGCTCTACTGATGAAGTTGTTATTTCAGTTATTATACTTTTCAACTCAGATTTCTATTTGGTTGTTTTTTATAATTTCTACTGATATTTTTTATTTAATGAGATATTCTTATACTTCCTTCATTTTTAAATCTTCATTGTTGCAAGTATTACATATGCTCACTTTTTTATTCCCATAGACCCCCACCAGCCCACTGCCCACACCCTGTTGTCTATGTCCATGGGTTATGCATATATGCATACAAGGTCTTTGGTTGAATACCTCCCAATGACCAACCTTCCCCTGCCATCCCTCCGAAATTCCACACTCTGTTCCATGCTTCCATGTCTCTGGATTCACTCCCTTCATCATAGATTCCACATATGAGTGAGATCATGTGATACTCGTCTATCTCTAACTGACTTATTTCAATTACCATGATACTCTCCAGGTCCCTCCATGCTGTCTCAAAGGGTAAAAGATTCTCCTTTTTTACTACTGCATACTATTCCAGGGTATAAATGTAACACAGCTTTTTGTATCCACTCATCTACTGATGGGCACTTGGGCTGTTTCCAGATTTTAGCTATTGTAAGTTGTCCTGCTACGAACATAGGGATGCAATCTTTCTGAATGGTGTTTTGGGATTCTTAGGGATATATTCCTAGAAGTGTAATTACTGGGTCAAATGGCAGTTCCATATTTAATTTTTTAAAGAAACTCCATATTGTTTTTCATAATGGCTGTACCAGTCTGCATTCCCACCAGCAGTGTACTAGCGGTCCTTTTCTCCACATCCTCACCAGCACTTGACATTTGTTGATTTGTTGATGGTAGCCATTCTGACAGGTATGAGGTGATACCTCATTGTCCTTTC